CAGCTCATTTACACACTTTTCCTGAAGATAGAAGAGTTTGTTGAATCTAACGTGACATGTTCGTACGAACCCTTTGTACGAACAAAAGGAAGAGAAATTTAGGAGAAGAATACGAACATGTTCTTGTATGAGGCCCAATGTATTTGACCCAGAACCAGGATATCAAATCATTTTTATTCACAATTTTCTGACCAAACCCCTCCCTCTTTGGCAAAACACGTCACTGATAGGATAGTGCCAAAAAATGGATTTAATCAATCTTGGATGGATTTTATTTAAATTTGGGAATATGGATTCATTGGGCATGAGATCAGTTTCTCCCCACAGTTAACCTCAGTAGTCTTGCATGAAGCAGAGGTGTGTGTTTTGTGTCACTCCTGGCTTGCTGTATGTTCACATCTGATTGACATTCAGTGCCTCAGTGGGTTGTCTGGGGCACTGAATGTCAAAACAAAACAAGCCAAGGAATCACTAACATTACCAGCCCATTGTCAGCGGGTCTTAACAACAGAGGCCACGGTCACTTTTATTTGCAGGGATTTATGTGGTAGTGGAAAACAAAGGTACCTACCTTTGTGTTGACATTTCGTCAGGACCTGCTGCCATGTCTTCCCAAACTGCTGAGACCAGATTGTGCAACAATGCTCTGTGTTTGCTTGTATTTGCTCCTTTGTTATTTCTAAGGGTTTTAACAAACCGTGYTGAGTTTTTGTGTTTGTATTTTAGAGGCATTTAATTGAAAATAGGATCAAATTCATCATCCAAGTTTTTTTTAGTAACCCCTTAAAGATGTCCTGATGCGTCTCAGTAATCCAGGTAGAAAAACTAAAAAAGACAAAATAAGTAGGTCCTCTGGATGGGTTCTTCTTTAGTGGAAAAAAACAAGGGGACGTTGAACCCCACTTGCATTCACTACAAACACATAACAAAACACCAAACAACCACAGCCGAAACATCCAAACCAGTAAGTCAGGTGATGGGACACATGACCCTCTATGAACAATAGTTAATCAAGCCTATTGTTAGKCRATGGYCCTMTTTTACATGTGACYRACCTGTTTGTCCACCAKGTGGAGGCGGAGCTTATAAGGCTGAGTTCACCTGAAACTCCTCAGACTGAAGAAGTCTCTTGGAGGAGAGACGAAACGTTTCACTGAAGAAGAACCATCCAGAGGACCTACTGATTTTTTCTWTTTGAACCCCTTAAAGAGCTAAGCTGACATGAACACTGTTTTATCTGCCTTTGTTCCTAATTTGTGCATGATTTTAAATGTCGAAGCATGCTTTCTTTTTTTTGCTTCAGAATGTGTTGGTAATCGTTTTTGTCACTTGACACATTTCACAGGCCGTCATTGGATGAGGGGCTTTGTTTAAAAACCAAATGTCCTCATGGTTTTTAATGTTTTGTTCCAGGTTTTCTGAGACACATGAAGTTGATTTGATGTTGCAGTTTGGTGACAYGAGCCTTATATTACCTTCTCTGCTACGTTTGCATTGGATTTTATAAAGATTTATTTTATTTTAGGGTAGAAGATACTTTGTACAAAAAACAAAATGTGAAACTTTTCCTAACATTTATGGCGATATCYTGAACACTAAGGAAGTTATGAACAAAAATAGATAAGAAGGTGAAATGATCCCATTGTTTCTGCTGTGAACTGCAGCAAGAGAAGAGYTGATTTCACCTGAACAAACATCCAGAACTTCCTTCATACTTCAGATAATCACATGATTTTGTTGCTATTTTGAAGGGTTTTTAATGTTATTGAGTTCGCTGTCAGATTTGATATAAAAATGTTATGCACATCCCTAAAGAAGGCTTGAAGTGTTATGATTGAGCTAGGCTGGTTAGAACCCCAAGTGCAGAACTGAAATGATCTAGGCAAAAAAAAGGTGCAAAAGGGCTTTATTAAACAAAATCAAAAAGCTGGCGTGGCAGCAAACAAGATACTAAGGTTTAGGTTTGATTATCAAACAGATAATTCATCTAAAAATAACAGTGTTMATAAAGTGTTCATTATAAACTTTTGTTTGTATAATCAAAATTTATCCCAACTTCATATTTAAATTCTGTTTAGCCAAACCCACAGTGTCATTAACTGCATGTATTGTTAGTCTTAATAACTTGTTGTTTGTTGTTGTTGTTGTTGTTGTTTTTGGCAGGTTTTATCTTGTCAGTGATGGAATCCCTCTAATCATTGTTGGAGTTACAGCAGCGTTTGATTTAAAGAACTACGGCAGCAGGGATGATGCGTTGTAGTAAGTCCACATTCACCCTACACTGTTATATTTCTGTTGTGTGTCAGTTAAATCATCATAAAGTTTACTTTGTATTGTTTTCAGTTGCTGGATGGCCTGGGAGCCAAGCCTTGGYGGCTTTTATGCTCCAGTGGGTCTCCTAGTCTTGATCATGTTTATGTACTTCTTGTACACCTACATCCAGCTGAAACAGCACCCTGAGAGGAGGTACGAGCTGTGCGCTCTTCATGAGGATGAACAGCAGCCGTCATCTGCTGATGGCCAGCCCGGCAGGGGAGGGGTACTGTCAGGAACTGCTGGAAACTGTCTACCGTGTCCTGCTGGGGTGTCCGTACTGGCCAACGAACATTCATTTAAATCCCAGCTACGGGCCACAGCCTTTACCCTTTTTCTGTTCGTGGCTACCTGGACCTTAGGAGCATTAGCAGTCTCACTGGGACATTTCCTGGATATGATATTCAGCTGCCTGTATGGGGCTTTTTGTGTGACTCTAGGGCTTTTTCTTCTCATTCAGCACTGTGCCAAACGTGACGATGTGTGGAATCGATGGTGGGCTTGTTGCCCATCCAAAGCCAAGACAGAGGGTGGGAATCCTGAGGGCCAGAGTCAGAGGCAGGAACCCCACCAGCCACACTGCCACCTTAGTTCACCTTGCTCAGGCAAGCAGCCGCTTCTTTCTTCCCATTTCTTGCAGAGTTCTTTTGACAAAATGACACCACCTCCTTTAAGTCCGACTCCCAGCAACGCAAGTCCATGTTGTGTAGCCGTAATGAGTTCTGCATCTCCCATCTCACCTCTCACTGAGCCCTCATCAYGTCCACATACACTCCCCGATGATCTGCCTCGTCCAGTTCTTCCTCTACAGAGCTGCCTTACCGACAGAAAAAAGTCCTGCTCCTTTAACCGTCCCCGTCCATGTCTTCAGAATTACCGCTCACACGTGGCTTCCTCTAGCATGGATGGAAGTGTGCTCAGCTCCCACTTGGGCAGCCAGCAGGCGGTACACCACCCTGAAGAGCCGGTTGCCAAAAGCCCACGGCCAGATCTCCAGCTGCCTTGTGTCAGCCCTCAGTTGGAGAAACAAATGTCTTCCTGCTACACCTTGCAACGTCAAATGTCTTGCCACAGCATACAGAATTCAGTGACTCCCTATAGTCATGCCCACAACCTGAATGATAGCATGACTTCCTGTCACAGTCTCCTCATGCCATCTCAAGGGGTCAGTTCCCATCAATGGCACATGTACGGCTCCTCCAGTCCTTCCTGCTGTGAGAAACCAGATTCCCTGACCCCGCAATATCAGCAAGATCCCAAACTTTACTTGTCAAAGACAGAAGACAAAGGAATGGATAATCAGTATCTAAATGTGGAGCAGAGAGGTTTCCCAAGAAACACCCTGCCTCGGCAGCACGCCACCGTCAGCCGCCGAGGAGCCATCGGTCGAAACAGGAGTCTGCAAGAAGACGGCTTGTTTGGTTCAGACGGCACAGGAAAYATACGGACTGGTCCGTGGAAAAATGAAACCACAGTATAGTTTCTGATCAGCCTGGAGCAGCAGTCTTGTAATCACAGATAACTTTTTAAGYGTTTGGGTGTTTCTGCCTTCGAATTTGCCCTTAAACCACCGTGACTTTTAAGATCCTAACACTACTTCAGATCCCTTTATGAGAAAATAACTTTAGGAATCGATATTGTGCTTCATGACATTTAAGGTTCCAACTAGTATTGTATTGCTCTGCCAGGACACTGTGTTTAGCAATGCCAGAGGAAAACAAACAGACCCTATTAAATCACATCACTTCCTGTAAGAGTTATGTTCTGATTGAAGTTTTCATTGTTGTTAGTTTGCGTCAGCTCAGTCATGTTCCCCCACATGTAAGAGAAATGAATACTCAGGCACAGAGACCCTCACAGAGTTGAATCTTTTGCAACAGAGTCAAACTGATGGTAAATGTAGGTAGACTTATTGTAACAAACATGATTCAAGAGGAAACTGCACAAAAGCTGACAAAGATCACCTTGTGTCCACACAGTAGAGTACAACCCACATAACCAAGTTGTCTGGACATGTTTCAGATTTTAATCCCACTGRTTGTGATTTCTTTGCATCTTTCTTCCATGTAGCCAAACGTTTTGTCAGCTTTTTAAGTGGTCTTGATCAATGTCTTTCTGAAGGTCTTTCAGTATATTTTTAAACTTAGCTGTGTTTCACTCAATTGTTATCCAATTTCTGGCCAACAAAATTTATTTTCTATTCAGTTTACAAAAATGCCAAAGATAACAATTGGACACATAGAAAATAGTATTTTAGCAGCAACAAAGTAACTCCCAGAGATATTATCTGTAAGCCTGACGATGAACTGAGCAATGATGCATCTCTCAGGGTCCTGTGTGAAGTGTACGATGGTTTTAAAAATATATTTCTAAAAAAATCACAAGTTGGTTCTTTAGAATGAACTTCAAAAGAAAAGTATCACATTAAATCACTAAAATACACATAAATATAAATAGTTATAGCACCTGAACTTTACAATGTTTTAAGTAAAATAAGTGAACCTACCCTTTAAAATGTTCAACACATGGAAAAGAACAATGGCACCCTTCACACTGGATGATGACCCCATGACTCTCTATCACCTACACAACCTGTTGAACAGAACTGGATCACAGTAAATTAGCTAAATGTCCTTCAGTACAACAGCAGTCATGACACCTGCGTTTCCACGGACCACAAAAATGCAAAAATAAGAATTTCGAAAATAAATTTGCTCAATGGAAACAGTTTTTTCACATCACAGGAGTCACGTGATCAACAACCGTC